AGGTGAGTTCAGAATTCATTTGTTGATAAGCTTTATTTTTGCCTAACACTAAAGCGTGTTATTGGCAGGGATCAATACAACTCGGAACCTGAAGCATCTGTGAAATAAGTGGTCTGGGATTCTGCTGGGATGAGTCTGTGTTTTAGATTTAGCCTTTTTTTTTTCATTAAAATTTCCCACTCGTGCTAATAAAGGAAGTGCTGATGGTAAAGGGTTTGTCTACAGGAGGTATATTTGCAGTATATGTAGGCAGTACCAATAGTATGCCTATAGTATGCACTATGGGAATAGTGGAATGGACTTCCTGCACATAGGGTTCCAGGTAGACAAGCTTGTACATGCTGGACGCATCTACACACGATGCTATGCCACTGTAGCTCATCACTACAGCGACATAGTGTTGGTGGGCACTAACCATGACTCTGCCGCTACTGTGTAGTAGCTTGTTGCTACTGTGTAGCAGGGTCAGAAACGACCCATGCACTGCCGGGACTGTGCAGTACCAGTGAGTACTGTGCAATCATTTAGTACTTGCTAAAGCAAGTACTAAATGACTTCGCAGTACCAACTGCACAGTTGGGCACGTGTGTAGATGCGCCCACTGTGCAAAACCCATTCACCACAATTTCACTTCTGTTAATGCCCAGGATAGATGTAACAGGTAGATTAAAACTAGCTTGGATCTGTCCATCCTGCAGTTTTACCTCCTGACCACAGCGCACACTTGATAAGTTTTTTTTTCTTTGTTTGTTTTGTTTTTTTGTGACCCTTTTATTCCTATGGCTTCTTGCTTGTATGCCTCTTACAGCACTTCCCCTCCCCACTCCTCCCCTTTTCTTCTCTCCTGCTTTCCCACCTATTATTCTAATCGCTCATGCAACTTTATTCTTTGCTCTGTGTTGTCCTTCCACAGAATCTTATGAAGTAAACTCGAGTTCATGAAGGTCTGTGTTTATATATATATATATATATATATAGGGATGTCAATTAATTGCAGTTAACGTGTGCAGTTAACACACTAGTTGGATCTTGCATTAATTTTTTAACTCGTTAACTTTGCATGTGGTTTTGGAGCCTGTACCTGGGCTCCACTCCGTTGCCTCCAGGCCTTCTAGCAGGGCAGCGGTGGCAACACAAAGAACCGCAGGGCAGCCTGGGCGTGGGCTCTGGGTGGCTGCAGCAAGGGGCAGTGGGCACACACAGACACAGACACACATGAGCAGCTGCAGCGTGTATGCCAGATGTAGAGCAGTGCTGCACTGGTAAGTCTCTGGAGGAGGAGGGGTAGGGGGAGAGGGAAGGGGTGGGGAGGCTGATTGAGGCCCTTATGGTGAGGGGGGGAGTAGGGCAGGGGCTTGGGTGAATAGGCCCCTGGGGTTAGGGCAGGCTGTGAGATAGAGCTGCAGGTGGCTCGTCCAGGGGAACGGGGATGTGGGGGCGTGGCTTTCTGCCACCGTGCATATACCCCCAGAGGAGGCATGAGCGGCATGTGCTACCAGGATTTGTGTGCGGAGTGGATGGAGGCTGCCCACTGAGGGGTGGGGCTCTGTGCACTGCTGTCTTTGTCCTGGGAACTGTGCGACACCATGTTGTGCTTCCAGCTGCCAGGCAGGCATGGGATGTGCGGCCAAATCTGGGGTGCATGCGCCCCCCCCATGCCTCCCCTGAGGGTGCACACAGTGGCACAGAGCTGTCCTCCTTCCCACCCCTGGATGAGCCACCTGCAGCTCCATCATATGACCTGCCCCAGTCCCAGGGCCCCACCCCCTCCTTCACTGTGGGGGCTTGATCTGCCTCTCCCCCTCCCCCTCCACAGACTTACCTGCTTGGTGGTGCCTGTGTGTGTGCCTGTGCATGTGTCTGTCCTTGACTCCCAAACCACAGCCCCCCCAGCCCTGCTGTTTCCCCTCGCTCCTATCGCACATCCTGCCAGGGCATGCAGGGTCCACACCCCCCTCCCCCACACCCTCCTCCTTACCATGCAAAGTACCTGCATAATTTTGAGGTTTTAGTTGTGTGATTAAAATCGTGATTAATTGCGACTAACTTTTTTAATCACACAACTAATTGCAATATTTTTTTCTAACCGTTTGACAGCCCTAGATATAATTTAGTAACTCTGCAAAGGTGCATACTTACCCCATCTGACTGACTTTAGACTAACACAGCTCTCCCAGTATATACATATCCAAAGTATAAACACAGATTACCAGGCTTCCAGAACTAAGGGCAAAAACATATGTTACAATACTTAAAACAAGGAGGGACACATTTTCCCTATATCTGAGC